TAGTTGGTAATTACGAAACGACGAGTACTACGGAACCTCACCGGACCGCCACAAACCAGGCAGTTCATAACTTGAACTTATGGATATCTTTTTCCCAATAACCTTTCCTCTTTCCCTGATACTTAAAAAAAGGGCCAGACAACGCAGCCAACATTGACGCCAAGGTATCCCCTCTAACTACCCAGTCTCTTCAGAGACTAGCGTAGTGAAGTAGTAGTAACTACTGCTTTATTTGTTTTTAGCAATCAGACAGCACCAGCACTTGGGACACTTACTTGAGTGCGATCCCGTCGCCACAAGCGTGCATTTTTTTATTGTTTCTCCACTAGCTATTAAATAATGCCATGTAATGTCCAACCTCAACTTTTTTTCTTTACGTTCTGTTTTGTTTTCATAAAACGCTGCCTATTACAGCCTTTTTACATGCGTGCTCTTTTGTCGTTGTGCTGTTTTGACGCCGTGCTGTTTTGGCACGTGCTCTTCTGTCGCTGTGCCGTTTTGACGCTGTGCTGTTTTGTCGTGTGCTATCTTGACGCGTGCTATTTTGTCCACGTGCTGTTTTGACGCTGTGCTGTTTTGACGCGTGCTGTTTTGACCGTGCTGTTTTGTCGCGTGCTGTTTTGTCGTGTGCGGTTCTGTCGCGTTCCCGAAGATTTCTTACTGTCGCACGTTGCATCGCTTGGTTTTTGGATTTCTAGAAAACGTCGCTCATCGTCTTGGTCGCTTGCGTGCGGTTCGCCTCGTCGCGCGACTGATTGAGCGAAAGCGAAGCGAGTCGCTTGGCTCCTTGCTCTCCAAACCACTTGCATGCGGTTTTCTAGAAATCCAAAAGCCGAGCGCCGCGACGGGTGGCAGTGTGAAACTTTCGTTGCTGACTCGTCGTTGTTGCTCGTCTTGTCGCTCGCTAAAGCGCTTACATGCGGTTCGGCTTTTATCTACGGAAACAATGTCTAAAAGCGCGCACATGCACCGAGAAGCATGACTGCGATAGCCTCACTGCCAAAAATTTGGGGGATTTGCGTGCCAAACCAACGACGGGCATCTGGAGATAGCCTCACTGTGTCAGTTGAAATTTTCATATGTCGCAATGGCGTTGACTGCCCTTTATTAGCGACAAAAACAAAAGAATGTGATGAACTTACATGTTCTCTGAAGCCTAGGCCATGATCTTGTATCGTGATCCATTCGCTGTCAGATTCCATTCTATAAATAAGAAAATACAACATCTATAATGAAACATAGGTATCAAATGATTAAATGAAAGCCTGAAATATCAAAGACCTAAAGAAAACACTCGGCTTCAACGCGGAACATAAAGAACACAAAAGCAAAGCTCCGGTGGTGACCGGTGCAGCACACAATGCGGAGAAACGGCGACAAAATGAAGGTCAGCTATGGCAGCCCGTTAAGCACGCCGACTGGTGGCAGCTCGAGTAACTGACTCTCTAAAAGCATCTATACAGATAAAAAACTGACACCTGCTGGCAGAACACTGTAAGGTCAAAATGCACTTCCTCAGAAACCAGTGCCACTAGTTCCACAGAGAGTGAAATTCTGTCAGACAATGACACTAAGGGTGCACCTCAGACAAGAGTTGTTACCCTGGTATTTTATCCAGAAGGTCACCTAGCAATTCACTGTGTCTATTGTGAGTGCAAGTCTAACTTAGAAAAAGACTAGTGTCATGGGCTGCTACAAGACAAAAATAAAGAGGAAAATTTACAATGCCTTCTTGATGAAATCTTAGAATAACAACTCATGTGAGCACACCCTCACTACTAACACATGACAAAGAATTCCACGGTCTGCGGAGCCAATGACGCTCGTTTCTGGGGGAGTGTGTTAAGACGTCGCATCAGCCAACTTCAGACGGCGCAATTTCGCTTGCAGATTTACACCTGTGACGTCACGCACTGCAGCTTCCCCCATGCCTATATTTCGCTGCGTGAGTGACGTCACAACAGCAAACTCGCAAGTAAAATCACACCATGCGAATCAGGTTTACAGTGTTCTGACAGCATGTGCTACTTCTTATCAGTAGATATATTTTTTTTACCAAAGTAAACTATTCAGTTAAAAGTTAAGACGTGTCCTGCCCAGATCTTCCTCCATTTTGTCTGCGTTTTTTGGCGTATTATCTAGTCTTGAGGCATATCAGTGTCAGGTGTTTTTCTTTGTCGCTCTAGTAGGACTCGGGCAGGGTGGGTAAACAGTCATGTCTCAATAATATGGATACTCTGCTATATAAAAACCGTTTTCGGGGACCAACCGGGTAAATACCTGCATTTTGTCCTGTTATTATGCACAGCTCACATTATGGACGCTTCTGGGTAGGAACGGAGGTGTCCATTTGCATGAGACATCACTGTCAAATTCCCTAGTGTTGAAATTAATGACTGCATGCTCTGAAGCCACGTAGCAGGCTTCTCCACTGAACACTAATGCGTAGTGGTGGCATGGCAGATATTTGTGGCTGCAGAACACACCGCAGGCAAATGATATCCAATGTGGACAATCATGGATATTTGACATTAGAATCAACCAACAAATAGGCCTACATGTTGCTGTCACAGAATTGAACGATTTTTTTTCATTGTTAGCTTCCGTTTTGTGTAAGATGCACGAGTGCCGAAAAACACGAGCTCGGAAGAGAAGAAAAAGAAAAAAAGAAGAAAGGAGGAAGCTGCGTAGAGCTAGGCTTCAGTGGTTGGAACAACAAGCAAGGCTTCAGTGGTGTGGGAGGTCGAACCCCAAACAAGGCTTTGTCAAGATGGTTGGTGGGCCCTGAGCAAGCTTCGACAACGTGCATGTGCTTGTGAGCGAGCGCTGTTCGGCACTATAACCACCCAAGCCACCACAAGTTCTTGACTCCGACTGGTGCCGCAAGGGACTGGGACCACTACCGACATCTTGCGACCATGATTCGACTTTCCTCATACGAAATGTATGGCGTCTTTGATTTGGCTTCTGTTCCCTCTTTGTTACGCTTTCGAAGCTTTTGTGATTTTCTTGCCGCTGCTACGAAGAGCAAAAGGCTTCCAAGGTATGTTCTTTTCCTTTATTTTCATTTTTTTACGTCCGTTTGTGCGTCCTGTGCACCTTTTCTTTAATTTTAAATTTCATTACTAATAAATAGTGTTTCGAAATGCCAGGTACAAGTCACTCTCAATTCCTACCGCCTCTAAGGAATCCATCACCTAGGTGTGGCCCTAGCACCTGGACAGCGGTCCAATTCAGATTACAAGTTGGTTTGTTTATGGCATCTTTTCCAACCGAACCTGTGACAAACTGGCATCCACTTACAGGTCTTGAACCTGACACAAGTTAGTCACAGGTTCAATTGGAAAAGATCCCATAAAAACAAACTTGTAATTTGAATTGGACCGCTGTCCAGGTGCTAGGGCCAAACCTAGGCGATGGACTTCCTGAGAGGCGGTAGGAATTGAGAGTGAGTCGAGCCTGGCGTTACGGAACACTATTTAATAGTAACGAAATTCAAAAGTAAAGAAAAGGTGCACAGGACGCGCACACAGTCGTAAAAAAAAAGAAATAAATAAAGCAATAGAACATATCTTGCAAGCATTCCACTCTTCATAACCGCGGAAGGAAAAACACAAAAGCTTTGAAAGCATAACAAAAGGAACAGAAGCCAAATCAAAGATGCCATACATTTGGAGGAGGAGGAGAGTCCAATCATGGTCCCAAGATGTCGGTGGTGGCTTGGGTGCTTGCAGCGCCACACAGTGCTCACTCACAAGCACAAGCACATTGTCTAAGACTTGCTCGGGGCACACCAACAGTCTTGACGAAGCCTTGCTCGAGGTTCGACCACCCAAACCTACGAAGCCCTTGCTTCGCGTTCCACCACAACCACACCGTGCGCGGGTTCCACCTTCTTTCTTCTTGATCCCTTCCTCTGAGCTTGTGCTTTCGGCACACGCACATTTTGCTCAAAACGGAAACCAGTAAAAAGAGTACAAAAACCACTGAATTCTGTGAGAGTTGTTATGACTGTGAATGTCTAGAGGGCAAAGTTGACATTTGCAACAAAACTTGAAATAATAAGGCATGTGGAGAGGGGGACAAAGTTTTGTGTCACTGGAGCCCACAAGATCTTTGTAAACTACTCAAGAAACGGTGTGACATAAAAGCACGACAAAAGACATTCTGATGCACGGCATATTAAGACATCGAGAAACCACTACAGAGGTGGTTTAGAGATGTCGGGGCAAGCAACATTCCTATATTGGGACAAATCTTCTAAAAAAATGTGAAAAACTCCTTTTACTCTTGAAGTGAAGAATCTTCTAAAAGAATGTGAAAGATTCCTTCTAATTTGATGTGAAGAACTTCACTGCAAGTGGATAGCTACATTAACTTAAGGGCCACCATGGCATAGAAGAAAAGACCATCTAAGGGATGGATAGATAGATGCAAACGGCTGTACCTTTTGTAACGGGCAGTAGTGCCAGTGTATGTGATGGGACTATTGTGCTGGCAGTGCCAGCGTCGAAAGAGAAAGTCAATGGCTCAACAATCAATTGAAGCCAAGTATGAAACCAGAAATAGTTAAATGCTTTGCCTAGGAAATTGGCCTGCAGTGGCAAAAGCATCCCTGGCAAGCAATTCACAGTTCGCATGGAAGCTAACAGAACAAGGCCCAGATATCAGAGCTTTTGAAAACCAACACGGATGTCACCACAAAAATGTACCCTTAGTGATGGGAAAGTTTAGAATGCCAAATAGTATGAGCTGTTGTAGTAAAACCATCATATACGTATGAAACATGAAATCATGGATGACTCGGGATCTCTTTGGCTGGGTCTTTGGTGGCTCGTGGACTGGGAAGCCGAGTTTGTGGATAAGCGTCCCAGCGTGTGCTTACTTGGTGACATGTGCCACTTAACACTATCCAGTTCTATTCTAGCAGCCAAACACGACATCCAAGCTGCATCCGTTAGACCAAGGCATAATTCAAAGGTAGTCTAGATTGTGTTTACCATTTATAAATGTCCAGGCACATCTGCAATATAGCCCATCCAGAGACTTTCAGAGACAGTCACAAGAGCCAGCAGCTTGCTTGGGCAGCTCACTGTCAGCCACTCTGTCCTTCCATGCACCGTGCCACCTCCATGAGCTCCCACTGAAAAACAAAAGAAACAGAATCGGAAATTATACTTGCAATAAGAACATCTCAGCAGCAGAGGCTATGTTATGGTGCCTGGAATGCACCATAACGTAGCCTCCAACTGGTTCGTTTCATGCTGTTGGATGTTGCAATCCTGGCATGCTGTTGGAGGTTGCAATCCTGGCAGTTGGTCGTACAACTTCCGGCAAAAAATATATGAGCTAAGGGAGCCGTGATTGTCCTCGCAAAATTCAAAATCCTGGCTGACAAAGCTTCTATGGACTGTGAAGCTGAGGGATGCCCTCTCTCCCCCCCCCCTCCCTTTTCAAGCAAAACTACCTCAACTGCCATGATGTTCAGAGCCCGGAAAAGATCCCCTAGAAGTTTATTCAGGAGCAACTAGGGTAGCTATAGAGACAAGCTCTCGCACTATAAAGCCATTCCACAAATCTGCCATAAGCAGCAGCAGTTCATTGAGAGTATAGAAGTTTTCCTTGTAAATACATCTTGAGATGAAGTTGCATCTCTGGATTCTACCAAGACTCTAGTTTCCAGCAAAGATTTACGTTGGCAGGCCGGCCGAGTTGCTGAGTAGGAGGAAGGTGCATGTGCCACACCACACGAATCTTTTGCTTACATTCAGAGAAAGGAAGGCTGAACTTCCCTGATCGATACTGATTAGGCTGAAAATCTTGAGACTTTTCCAATTGCCGAATTCCTCAACAATACCAATTTTTCAGCTCATAGACACCCTGCACAGGGTTGAGTTAGGTACTAGTGGTCATTAACAACTGCGTGAATTACTGTACGCATATGCTGTAACTATACTAAAGCCCAACTTATTCTAGTAACACACAACACTATAAAACTACCAAAAAACACCGAGCATGCACCCGTGGCAGAGTAAGCACTCCAACCCCTACTTTTGAAACATATCACCTCATCTAAGGACATATTAAAGCCTATTCCTCTATTTTAAGCAAGTTAAAAAAATATATGAAAGAGACATCAAGCACCCTGTCCCTATGGGCGTTTATCTCCACGACTGGCAGACAGAATGGGGATAGAACGAGTAGAACAGCAAAGCAGGAGAGGAATAGGAGGGGTGCAGTCGAAAAGAGCTAGAAAGTGATATACTTGGGGACAACATTCTGTGGCAATGGAGCTAAAGCTAGAGAGCCAAAGGACACCATTTCACTGCATAGCTGAATATAGTTCAACCATAATAATTTGCTGGGTGGAACGTAACCAATTAAAATATATGTAAATTTGTTCTGTTTAGCTTTGACTTTAGAATGTTAGCATAACATTAGCCAGGATGTGCCAAACCTAGAGCATTTCTTATTTAGCTATTTTGTGTTTTCTTGGTTTAAATTCACCCTAGGTTTTCTAGCTCCCTGCAAAATTAAGATGGCATCTTTATCGTGCGCACCTTTGGGCATCATCAGTGTGGTGTATTGTAGGTACACTCTGTGAGCTCGCCTCTTTGTTTGACATGTAAGATTTTTACGAAGTTTGGCAACCAAGAAATCTTAAAACAAAGCAAGCAAGTGGTGTGCAACGTGTATGACAAATGGGACAGTGGCAACCGGGACTCCTAGTTATTTCCGTATGCCGGTTGGCAAGCAAGCTCACTGGTGTGTGTGAGCAGGGGTGGGGACCGAGCTCAGGACCCCTGGGTTCTGCAGTGCAATCCTCGCTACACATATTCTGAGCTGGGGTGTGCCAGCGACCCCCTAGGGCCAGCCATACCTGAATGCGATCCAAATGGAATGCGACTTTGAGTCGTGGAGTGTGCATGCTTCTATTTCTGTATATTCCTCCCGCGCAATAGTTTTTCAGCACCAGAAGAGTTTACAGATAACTGATCTCAAAACATGGCAGCACTCATGAAATTTGTTCATGTGGCGATTTGGGTCAGGTGGTTCATGATCATTGACAAGTGCCAAAAAAATAGACAGGGTCAAGAAGTTGCCACTGGCGCACTCGCAACTAACATTATTGAAAAAAAAAACAATCTGTTACATTGCTGTGAAAAATGTCAATCATGATCACAACCAATGTAGACCTCTATCAAGAAATCCATATTCTTTTGCTGATAAGGTTATGGATGTGTCACTTGTACAATTCGTGCCTTCGGCTATAATCTCAAACACCTTGTGTAGCTTTCTAGACATTTTATCTGAGTATCTGGCCAAAAATTTGGTGTCATTAAATGATGGGAAACAAGGGCAGCAGCTGATGTGTGTGGTCGCTGCAGCAGCGGCCCTTGGAAAAGACAAATGCAAAACTAAACACTGCAAAAAATTCACAGAATGCACGACCAAAGTTGTGTACCAAATCCCAATGTCATATGGTTCTGTGTACACAGGTCAGACAGGCCTATGTATAAATGATTGCGCCCACGAACACGAGTTGGCCACACAAGCGACTTCCATCACGACATCTGGCCACACACTGCAGACGCTGCTTTTGCTCCCAGTCGTTTAAGGACACCAAATTTTTGGCCAGATACCCCGAATAAAGAATCTAGAGAGCTACACCAGGCATTTAAGATTAAAGCCAAAGGCACCAGGTGTACAAGTGACAGATCCATAACCTTATCGGCAAAAGAATTAATTTTTTGATAGAGGGTTGCACCAGTTGTAGTCATGACTGACGTTTTTCACAGCTATATAAGAAATTTTGCTTTTAATAAATGTTAGTTGCCGGTACACCAGTGTTCACGTCAAATTTTTGTCTAGGTATTTTTCCGGCGCTTATCTACTATCATGAAGTTCGCAGCTTTTCCTGATTCGACACTGCCTATCTTCGTCAGCTGAGAGACAAATTCTAGTAGATTGACCCCGGTGAAATCTACCTTGCAAGTCTGTCCGAGTGCTTCAGTCAAAGTGTTGGCTTACGTTTAAAAACGGGTTAGCCTTCAGAAATAGATCTGAATATGCCTGCATGCTCGGCAATCGCGGTTCAGCTCCCTCAACCGCAATCCTCGTACAAAAACATGCACTGAAGCAACTGCGTGGTTGACACGCCAAACCCTAACTAAAACCAAAACAAAACAAAAAAAACTATTTGGTGCACTAACACAGAGCCATTAGCACTGCCTGCCTCCCCCCTCCCTAGCTTTCTCTTCATTGCCAAAGAAAGTTGTGCCCAAAAAAAGATGGGTTGCTTTTTTGTTCTAACTCGGAAGAATAAATTTAAGGCTTTATAACAAAAACATGCAAATGCCTATGCAACCATTCTTTAGGATGTTAATTTGTAATCAAAAAAAGAAAAAAAAACAGACGGTTTGTTTTTACATGTTTGCACAGTCAACTAGCTTTGCAAATGGCAGCTGTTTTGTAATTCCGTGGTCAGACCAAAGGACCACCCGATCATGTACACCTTTGCTTTATCACCTACCCTATCCCCCAGCTCTCCATGGTCATCGCCAATTTAGAGTGGGCAATTGCTCGGTATATTACAGTTTGTAATGGTGTTATTTGTTTAGGAAAACAAAATGTCAGATAAATACCAGCAGGGCCCTGCGGAAGCGGTGCATGGGCCCCGTTTCACCTTTCACAAAGCATGCTGTCTTGAATGGCAGCAGAGAAACAGGTGGGGCTGATTCAACTGCAGGCCTTTGCTGAGTTGATGGCTACTATCCAGACTGGCAGCTGATCGGCATCTTCCAGCCACCTGCAGTTTTTTCATGATGATACAGACTTCCTGCAATACCATGACTAAGAATCAGACTGATATTATGGAACAAAAAAGAAACCAAAACTTGCTTCACAGATCAACCAAAAGAACAAGTGCCAACATTACGCTTCTCTTGTTGTCGACAGTGCAAAGACCATGATGACAGCACCATTAAACTCAACCAAACAAGGAAAATGAGCTTCTTCATGACGTAATTGTATTAAGAACTCAGGCATGCAGCCGGAGGGGGGTAGGAGCCTACCTCACCTTTGCTTTATTACCTACCCTATCCCCCCTCCAAAATCGGCCATTTTGTTGGGCCCTCCTCTCCCCCTCCCCCTCATACAGCATTTTGTCTTGGGTGCCCCGCCCCCCCCTTCCCAAAACAAAGTTCTGGTGAAGTGCCTGTTAAGAACAATGTGCATGTAGAGCTTAGATACCTACTGGTACCTTAAGAAATCCCAGGAAGCTAAAAACAAATTAAACACCACTTAAAAATAGCACAGCTCGCTTGATAGGCACATGCACAGCAATCAACAAGCCTCTTGACGTGTTCTGCAGTGCAGGGATACAGATCAAAAATAAACACCGGGGATGTGATCGAAATCCTTTGGGGCAGTGCAACGCGCAAGTTTATCCTGAAGCTACTGTTTGCGGATGCGCCTAAGAGGCATTAAAGCTGGTTCACACTGTTGCAACTGACTACGACCGAGTTGAACAAAACAGGGTTTTAAGCCGCTTACGACTGCCATTACAGGGGTGGAACTCATGAAATGTGCTTGGGAGCAGCCACGGGAGCAGCTAAAACAGCTGTTTTGGAGCAGGTTGGGAGCAGCTAAAACTACACTCTGGAGCAGGCTAGGAGCAGCTCAGATCAGTTTTCATTGCACTCCAGCTTGTGTCTTAGACAAGCACGGGAGCAATTTCAGTTGTGCTTAGCAGCCCAGATAAACATGAGTGGTTAGGGACCTAGGCAGATGGGATAACAGTGTAACAGATGCGAAAACTTGGAACTTTGTGAGCCTTGATATTTTCTGAGTGGCTCTCAGCTGCTCAAAATGCAAACCAGCACCGCTTATCGCACAGTCCACACGTCCTCGACAGAGTGATTTTATGTGCGAACCACGTGACGTGCGTAAGCAACGGACGTGCAGTTGCGCGGAAGAACAGGGAAACAAATTTCGAGTTTCTCATATTGCGCAACTCAATATCGCAACAAAATTCGAGTTTATCCTATTGTGCAACTCAATATCGAAGCAGCAGACTACGATTAACCGAGTTATCGTATTCGAAGCGATAAGCAGGAGCAAGGTTAACGTATGCCGAGCAGATCTACCGCTCGCGTGAGAGCTGCTGGCCGGCAAGGTTTCGGATCGGACTGCGTTTCAGATCTATCAAATCACGATTTATCTTGCAGGAATGCGGTTCCAACTTCTAACGATGAAGTGCTCAAAGGAATCTTTTGCTCATTTGTTTTCAACTGACTGACGTCCGGATCCCGGGCTTCGGAGCCTCAGGCAATCTGACGCTTAACGACTCGACCTTACCTCGACCGACTTGTTCAACCGCTTATGGTTGAAGAATAACAATCCAGAGGCAGATGGTGTAGCGCTTGGAATCCGAACCCCGAGTTTTTTTCGCACACTTCCTACTCGGGATACACAGGGAGAATAAAGAGAAAAAAAAGATTGCAAGGCCGACCAAGCTAAACGCGATCATTGTTGCCAATCGAGTCGATAGAAACCGAAACCAAGACAAAATACAATTTTTTTGGCGCACGTTTTCCAATTTGGTGCATAATGGCGCGAGGTATTGACTGTGGCGCAGTTTCCGAAACATGGCGCAGGATGGCGCAGACAAATGCGTCTGGCGCAAAATGGCGCAAATGGCGCAGCCGTTCCACCCCTGCATTACTGCTGGACGGTGTGGTCATAAGCTGTCACAAGAGGCTTAAAGACTGGTTTTGTCGGAGTCAGTCCTAGTCGGGTGCAGGAGTGGACCAGCTTTTAGACTGAAATTGTATCCAGCTTTGGGTCTTTCCACAAATGCTTTAAGAGACTCCCTTCAACTTTACCAGAGCCTCAGGTATTTATATGTCTTAGTAAGTAAGGAGACATCACATTCAAAGTTGCATCTCCTTGATTTGTATGTGTCTCTGCAGTACATTTGAGAGCGCCTGCCAGATGTGTGTGCTTCTATTGCAACTTTTGTACCACTCAACGTTCTATACCAGACCAGAGCATTTTAATCAAATCATTCAACCTCTTTCCTCAGCCATGTAAACTACTTGTGCACCCACGAGTTCCACAAGTCACGAATGTAGCCGGGGTAAATTAAAACGCCGCTAAGGCAAGCAATAATAATCTTTATTAGCGACAGTAGTACTCTGGATGGCTCGCAAGGCTAGACATATATACAGGGGCCCGTGCGCACGATCGACTGCTAGCCAATCAACCAGAGCAAGATTATTAAAATAACAAACAAGCAACAAGGAAGAAAACAACAAGAACGATGAGATTAACAGGGCTCTGTCAACACTTTTAAGAAACTCTAGGCCCGCGCACCTCAAACCCAACGCCACGCACCGCAGGCCGGCGCGAGGCACACGCCGTACACGAGCACAACGACGACACCCAGCTAGGAGCCTGTCCTATCGACCCGCCAAACGCCAGCGCAGCCAGCGCCACACGCCAGCGCCACTCGAACCGCGCCATCCCTCTGGACGCGGCGCGAAAACCAAGTGCGCGCAGGCCGGGAGTTTCAAGATACTGGGCACAACTCAACGCTGTCGCTAGCATGACAAAGGACAAGACGACACGCCAAAGTCAAAACCACCCGAGTGCCGCCATCCCGAACACACCCATGGCGTTCGTTCCAACATCCGTATTCAAGCGTTTGACAACACAGAGCAGTTCACTGATAGCAACGCGTACTTTAGAAACGATCTAATCAGCGTCTCTGCAGTGCTCCGTTGTCGCAGAGCATTCACAAGACTTTCAAGATAGCGGCGTCGCCGCCGCCGGTCAGTGCTAAGACGATTTCACTTTTTTCGACTCAAATCGCAGAAAAAAGTGAAACATTATCCGCATTAGGGTGGCAACGTGAGCTACGTTGTTCGGAAGATGATCTAGCATATCTTGGATATTCTTCTAGCATGCATTATGAATATGAAATCGGCAAAACTTACCTAAACTCGGACCGACCGACACACTCCGAGAAACAGGCCTGCCCACAGTTTATCATACACAGTTTGCCCACTGTAGAATAAGCCTGTGGTAATCGCAAACCACGTGATCGAGGGCCTTGTGTAAATAAAAGTACATTGTAGAACTAAACTCATTATATATTATTCACACAATATAAATTATATTGATAACCTAATAATTCAAGAAGAGCGAAAGTTTCTTAAACAATTATTTAAACTCGTAAAAGCGCCCTCTCACCACGGATGGGGTAACTAACCACATTTTATGCTTCGTTTTTATTGTTTTGCTTTTCAAGATGGCGGCCCCCATGGCATTTTGTGTACCCGGTTCTCGCGTCCGCTTGCGTTGCGCTTTCGCTTTATTGTGACGTGCGCACCACTGGACGACAATCACAGGTAATTTATTCACACAAGAGTTATTTCAAGCAGGCAAATGTTTATTTTCGCTCTACATAGTACAATTTATAAGAAAATGTTACAAACAGCACATGCAATGATGCGGTTGCTGACGGGTATTATCGAACATACACGGTAGTACCGTTTGAATGTTAGCCTTCAAGCTATGTGCATAAACAATGATAAACCTAAGATCAACAAACATAGTCTAAACACGTAGAAGTCGCGGTAAAGGTATTTCAAAACAGCTATTCATAAACCATGCAAAAAAAAAACTGCACAGACGCGACAGTTTTACATAACGAGTGCGATTACAAACCAGTTGCTTTAACAGTAACTACAGGCTAATGTGGTAAAGAATAAAGCTGTGCTTGGAGGTGCATTTGACCTGCCTGTCCTTTCCCCCAAGATGAATGTTCAACACACCTGAGGGCTATGTTCGACGACAAATGTTTCGTTTCTCCTAAAAAGAAACGGAAGTGATGGAAGTGAAGATATTGCGTCTGATTGGTTAGAGGCTCAAATGATGAAAGTTCCCGCTTTCGTCATTTGAGCCTCTAACTAATCAGACGTGATATTGTCACTTCCATCACTTCCCTTTCTTCTTAGGAGAAACAAGACATTTGTCAAACATTGCCCCCCTGGTCAGTTTTCTATGAGATATGTCGGATCTAGCCAGAAAATTTTTTCAGCACAATGTTTAGCTGTTAGGTTCAATGACAGCGCGCTTTTACAACTCTCCGTCTCCTGATCTGCCTAACGGGGCTACTGGCCCTTCGACAAAAATATCACCTATCATCGACAAACCGTAAGCACCTAGAATGCCACTTTCTGACTGCAGCATCACCATTGAACATTGTCGTCCATGGAAGCAACCTCCTGGCTCAGCATTCTTCACTCATCGCCCTTGCCAACCTCACCTAATCTCGTTATTGCTGATCACTGGTGAAGCACACCCGCCGGCAATATGAAAGTGAACACCTTACCTGGATTCTTGCCCGTTTTACGGCTCTCTAAAGCTATATTAACTCTCAACGTCTCAAATAGTATTTGGCTTGGGGTCTAAACTTTGCGTTCTAGCCCTCTTCTGGAACAGAGCTTGTTCCAAAAGTTGCAGGAGCGTCAAAAACAAGAAGAGGCCTGTTCACCATCATATCGCTCACGGGTGTATCTTCCATCTCCGGCTCACGTCCCACCTGCCCCTGCTGTTTCCTGTCTGTCGACAATGTCGCCACTCTCCAATGCGACATTTATGATTTGTGGTTCCACCAGAAATGTGAAGATG